CACTGAGGCTGTGAAAGACTGCATAGCAAATCAGACTGATGATGGTCCAGAAAGCAAGTTCAGATGAAGAAAGGGCCTTTTACTTTAAACATACCTGTAAGGCTAGAAATGTGAAAAGAGGAAATGTGCTGCTTAAAAAAAAAGCAGCAAGACAACCACAATGTCTGGTGGAAGGAGGGTTCAATCAGGAAATGTCACGGTGTAGATATGGCTTGCACAACTCATGCAATGAGAACCGTGGGATTTAAATCTAGCAGGCAAGCTTTACGCTAATGCAGCCTTCTCCCGGCTCAGGGCCAGCCCACATGTGAAGCAGGATGAGGCTCCTGCAGGTGTGTGGAGCTGCGAGAGTGACAAGTGGCGTCACTCATCATGTCTTCCCTGAGCGCAGCACCAGCCTTGAGAACCCATGGCCAGCTCCAGTGCGGACAAGTGGTGGCTTGAGAGCCCCACTGGACATGTTCCTACCATGGCATTTATGGTAGAAAGACAGTGGCCTGTCAAGCTGTCTGGAGCAGCCACCAGCCCTCGGTTGCCATGGGACTTCGGAACGCTCAGCCGTGTGCTGCAGCCTGCTGAAAGTCCCTGCATGCCAGCAAAAGAAAGGTGCAGTGATCACAGGGCTCGTGATGGCTGGGAAGAGCTTGCCTCCTCTTTCAGGGGGCAAGAGACCTCATGCCAGGCCTATCTGCACTCCAGATGAGCTGAATGAGCAGTCGCCACTAGCTTTTTGCAAATGGGGGGGCATAGAAATGTTCTAAATAAATGACCAAGTACGTAAAACTCAGATGTCTTAGGCCAAAGTCTTGTGCATATTTACACACAAAAAAGCCCCAAACTCCTAGAGTTCTCCAGCCACATGGATGGCTTAAGAATGCTGGGGGTTGTAGAGATTTCTCTCCATCTAAGCATGCATAGGATTATGCCCATATATGTAAGGACACAGCCATCTTACATCTTGAGCTACGAGGTCTGGCTATACAAGGCTTGCTTCTTTTCCACATTTATACAATTCTGGGAGGGTTGTGATGTGTTTGTTTTGCTATGAATAATATTAATATTGGTTCATACCAGAGAAACTGAGGATTTATCAACCAGGAGAATTACTTGGTATCTCAGATGTTACTTAACACTGCAAGTTCTAATCAAGTAATAAAGTTACTTGCTGTAAGCAACCCAGTGTTCTGAGAGACTGCAAAATAAGGTAGAGTGTTTCGTCCATTAAATTTTCCCAGCAGGAGTTTACCAGCTGCTAAAAGACAAGTGTTGACAACATATGCTAACCAAGGTACTTGCAGACCTCAAAGACTAAAGGTTATATCCAGCCTAATCCTTCCACAAAACAAGGGAACCTTTCACACCTGGAGGGCACTGCTTGTGGAATGCCCTCTACCTGGTTTCTGGGGATATGCCTCCTCATGCACATCACAGTTCAGCCCATTCAGCAGGGTCTTTTGACTTCTGTAGCATCTTCAGGGGACTGGAAGGGTTGCTGAGGAAAAGAGGAGGTGGGGAAGTCTATCTCCACTAGAGCAGATGATTCAACTTAAACCTGGATCCAATCCTGACATTTTCATTTTGGTAAAAACGCTCATGGACTGCAGTCCAATTAGATGCCTGTCTCCCTTTAAGGGATTGCACATAGATACACCTGAAACTTTCAATAATACTTTATGCATCTGATATTGGTTATTATTAACATTCATATGTTGCCTTATCTGATAAAAAGCCAACAGTGAAGGATAAGGTAGATTAAAGTCTGCACAAGGTCATGCCATAATACATGTGTTAATCTTTAAGGTGCCACCAGACTCTTTGCATGAAATCCATACTATACATTGAACTAATTTCCAGGTGAAAGAAGGCTCGAGTTGACAAATCATTCAAAGTCAAAAGCAAGTGAGCTTAAATACAAAAACAGTAGGTCACTTAATAACACAAGTACTTTACATTACTAACTTGCTGAAGGTCCTTAGTCAATATTACAACATTTAGTTATAACAGCAGAGTATAAACCTGTGGCAGGAAGAGGTAGGTTGATCCTGGTATTTTTGATATTGAAGCTCTTCAGACTAACTCAAAACAGCAACATGCTGTTTCCTATCCATGTTGTACGGTCCCACTGCTAAAACGAGCTTCTTTACCCTTGAGTGGGCAGATACAAAGGCATTTTCAGTTTAAATGAAAAAAATGGTTGTTAGGGTTTTTTTTAGTGTATTTCTATTCCTGTAAGAACTGTTCTATATAGTATCCATCCAGATACCCTTCGATTGCCGAAAAGAAACAAATCTAATTACAAACTTCCATAAATATTACTGGTTTGTTATTTAATATGGGCAGAAAGGTTGCAGGAAATTCTGAAAAAGTGACTTCTGTCTTCACAAATAAATTGGTATAGCTGCTGCACCAAGAAAACTGTCTAGCACTCATATGCTTTTCCTTCCTATGTTCAGTGTCTTAACCACAGGAATCACTGTTGAGTGACAGACGACACTCCTTTTCCTGTTCTTCCATCCTGCACTGCGTATGATTTTCTGTGAACAGAAAAACAGTACTGGGGCTCACGCCTAGGCTTCCTCCCATAGTAGTCAGAACTAGGCCACAAAGACACTTGGGTGGGAATTCAGCCGGATTCTACATGTTGCCACTCCCTCCTGGAGGATGATGGAGTTTAGTGCCCTGATATTTATAGCAGTATCATCTTGTATTTGTTCTTGCAATGAAGTCCTGCTCTTCTTCCAGTCAACTTCCTTTGGGAAGGATTTATCTGCAAGGGAAGTGCTAACACGGAGCAATCTGGCTCTCCCTTGCCCTTCCTCCACTAGACTAGCTTCCATTTACGATGCTTTGAGAGAGCAATGCAGATCGTATGCATGGCCGCCCCTCCTAACAAATGCTAAAGGTACACTAGCAGTTTGTAAAAATGTGAATTGCTGGAGGAGATACATGTTTATATTACTAGGTTAATGTTATGCCGAGCTGCTGTATAACTCACAAGGGCTTACGCATGAAAAATCTTGTTTTATGGATAATTTGTGTTGCAGAGGCACATTCAACATCTACTTTCTGTGCCATTTTCCTGTACCAAGTACAAGGTAATGCAGCACTCATGGGAACATCCATATTTACAGAACAGGACAGAGAGAGCTATTTACCCCATGGTATTCAAAATCCTTATTATGTTATGTCCACTCTTAGCAGGCCAACCCTAGAGTAGTAGGACTGGTTTTCGACAGACCATGCAATGGCAAGTACCAGACGAATATGGAATGCACCCATCTCCAGGACCACACAAAACACAGGTACATGAACTCAACCACCATAATCATGTAGCATCGAAAAGTCATATGAAAGTAGCAGAGCATGTCTTGTCACTGACATGCTATAAAAATATGCAGCCCTATGTGTCATCACTTACTAGTCCTCTCATATTTGATCACAGATGCTGCCAACACACCCACATACGGCAAATAAATGTAATATACTTTGTGGGAAAAGTGGTATTCACCCATCATTTGGCCTTTCACAAAAACCTTCCTTTGATATGCCCATGTGTATCTCCTTGTATCTTTAAATGCATTCACCAATGACTAAAAATGCATATCCAAGGACCACAGTGAAGTACCAGTCCTTTATGTAGCAGTGAATGTGACCCTTTAATGTGGGTTGGTGTTTAAACCAGGAACAAGCAAGCAAGCAAACCCTTACTGGAGATACATTCAACAGCAGCTGCTAAATCTAACAAAATAAGGCACTTAAGAAACATAATTTAAATGGCTCAAATGAAGACGGCTGCCATGTTATTGAGAACCACAATGAACAGAAAGTCCTTATTAAAGGACAGGTGTTTTCCTGTCCTATTAAGCATCTATAACTGCATTCTGTTAGCAGGTACATGATCCACATACATAAATGGGGAATCTCCAAAGGCAGAGATTTCACTATCTTTTGCCCTCTGTGCCCTTTTTTCTTCCCAATAATGTCATATTGCAACACATTTACACATGATGGGCACCCATGTGCTTCGTTAAGAGAATTTGGAAAAAGATGTCATCAATCTACAGTGCCCGCCAAAATCTGGCCACGCCCAGTGAGTTTTTATAGAACCAAGATATACCATAACGGCTCAACCAAATATTGCTCTAAATATGCTACTATTGCAAACAGTTGAAAAAAAATAAGTTAGTTCACCATCCACTGGTGAATGTATTTTTAAATCCAAATATGCTATATTAACTATGCACGTTACATAAGACTTACAGGGAAATCACAGAACAGATATAAACCTAGCCTGGCAAAAGCCACCATAAAATTATAAAGATAGGAATCCCTGAAACCTTAGTGTATATATAATTTTAATCATGGACACAGTTTCTCTGCTCCCACCCACTCCAGCATTCCTTGCTGCTTCGAATAAGCATTTTTGGACTAAACAGCTCCTCTACTGGTCTGATCTTCTCAATGTAAGCACACCTCAGCGATATACAGAAGCGGGAGAAGGGAGGGGGAAAATACAAGATTCAGTAGCATGACAAGCCAGTGAAACACCCTTTACTCTCCCGTCCACCCACCGTCTTGACGTGCCGTTTGCATTAACACCATATACCCAAATGTAACCAGCCTCCTCTAGAGAATCCTGCCTAGAAGTGTTGAAGGAGAGCATTCAGATATAGACGCTGACCAAGGCAGAAGAGCTAAAATAATCACAGCATCTTTAAGAAGGGTTCAGCTGAGGACAACCGACATACTTGGCGGAAAAAAAAAGCAGGCAAGCAAGGCAGCAAGGAAGCAGGCAAGCAGCGGCAGCACCAAGAGCACCGCGCTGCTTGCTGCTTCGCTTTATATAACTGAAGCATTCCTGTAAACAGACTGGGCTCCCTGGCAAGCGATGCTTCTCTCAGGGCTGCAAGATCTCCGCCTGCTCCATTGAGTCAACTCCCAGGCGCACCTCCCCCGCCCCCGACCCAACCCCCCGCTGGAAATTAGAGACCGCAGCTAACCTGTATGCACTCTGTAATGAGCTTTCAGATGGGATGATTTGCCGTAGACTTTGCCACAGCCACTGTAGGGGCACTTATGTCTTTTTTCGGTGGCCAGCTTCCCTTTTGGAGGCACTCCACTGTGCAGGAGGGAGGAGAGGGGGTCGGGCACGCTGCCAGCATCCTGCCCTTCCACTGGGCTGTGGGAAGGGCTCGACCCAGATTCGGTGGTCACGTCGCTGTCTGATCCGGCGTCCTCATCTGGGCTCTCCACACTGTCACTGCAGATGGAGGGGGTCGGCAGGGGTCTGTATTTGTTCAGGTCCAACAAGCTTTTGGCAATGGTCACCAAAGTGCAATAATCCTTCCAGGCATCCCGAGGGTCGTTCATTTCCTTGGTCACGACAGCAGCTGCTTCCTCCTCTTCTTCCTCGGGCATCTTCAGCAGCTCTGCTTCCTGGGCCATGTCTTGCTGTGCCACGGAGCGGTTGGAAATGGACACCAGGCACTGGGCAGCCACAAAGTCCATGTAAGCCACTGCTGACATCCTGCGGGCGATGATCAGCCACCCTTCCCACCAGGAAGGAAATAATTGAGGGAAAGAGCGGAGCAGAGAGAAAAGACCCCAACTGCAAAAGCCCCCCAAATTAAAAACCACTTCCTTGCTGTCTGTCGGGCTGTCGTCGCCGCCCTCTCTCTCTCGGGCTGGCTGCCTGGGTGGGTAGGTGGGCGGGTGGGTGTTGCAATCACCAGGCTGCTTGCTGTGTTGCCTTCAGGCTGCAGATCACGGGTGGAGGTGGGGTGGGGTGCCTCGGCAGCCGGGCAAAGGGAACCCCTTCCGCGACTCGGCGGTTTACATAACCACGGCCATTCGTGACCCCGCCGAGCAAGGGAGGAACGCCGCTCAGCCTACCTTTTGACCTCAGTCACCGCCGCTGCTCGCGCCCCCTTCGCAGCTAGCAAACTCCAGATCGTGTGAGCCTGAGCGTGTGCGCGCGTGTCATGCACTCCCGAGCACGCTGGAGGAAAGGTTGCACTATTCTAAGGCGGTCTTCTTGAGAAAACAGTGTCACAAGTGGCGATTTCAAGTAATTCAAGTAGCACCAGGGGGTGTTTTCCCCTCTTCTTCGTCTTCTCCCCGCCCTTCAAGGGGAAGGGGAAAGAGGCTGTGAAATGAGCAGAGGAGGAGTTCGGCAGATCGCGCAGCCGAGCCGCGACTTTGGCTTCCCCTGCCGCCCGGCTTGCTGAGGCTTCCCAGCGCCTTCTCGGCGCCCCCGTCAGAAAGCGCAGGGCTGAAACATCTGCCCGAGCGTGAGATTCGGAGGCGGCGGCAGCAGCAGCAGCGGCGGCGGCACAGACTTTGGCTGATTGCGCTGCCCACTGCCTGACTCACTCCCCGCTCGCCTACGGCTCCTCGCTGTTCCGGCACAGTCTTGCTCAGGACCAATTTCGCAGAAGCCCATCACGCAAAAGGTTCCTCACCGAGCCTTCCCCCCAGCCCACCCCAACACCACCAATTGGTCAGCCGGGACAGTGATTCAACTCTGTTTACCTTCTCCCCCTTCCACTCAGAAGGGCCCTTTTTGCAGGGGAGGTGTGTCAACAGACGGGGGCCGCGGCCAATCCGAAGGTTCCCTCCCAGAGCCTCGTGCTACTCCGGGCGCCTCGCGCCCCCCATTTAAAAGGGCAATGAAGGGAGAGCCGGGAGCACGCAACACCCGCAGCGCCAAGGCGGGGAGGCGCCGAGCGCAGCGCGCTGGGCCGGCGGCGCGGCATTCCAGGGCACAAAGCACCTTCCGCCCGCCGCTTCCCCCCCGCGAGTGAGCGCTTTCGCTTTCTGCGCCCCAGGAATGCAACTTTGCATTTCCGGCAGGGAGCGGGTTAACTCACTCACTAAGAAATCCTTATAGTCCCAGCAACCAGCTAGCCAATCGAAAGTGGTTTGGCTGATGTCACTAACATTGGCTCCGCCAATCAAAAATACATTCCGGTCAGTTCTTCTCCCTTGTAAACCTAGAGAGGTATGGAGCCTAGCTAGGAAGGAGTTGGCTAGGAGTAAAATGTAAACTTTAGGCGGCGGGGGCGGGGAGGACGAAAGGTAGTTATGTAAGCACACAATGGCCATAAGTTGGTGAGTGTGTGTGCACGGGCGCACGCAGACACACTTTCTCACGCGTGTGTTAAGGATTTGTATATTCAGTTAGGAATTTTCAGTTATCTTACGAAAAAACGAACAGAAATACCGCTCTTCAGTATGTGAGTGTGTATTGCTCGGTCTTGAGTAAGTTATGGCAAGTTTAGACAAAGATGGCCTACAACTCACAACATGCTCCTGCCACCTATGACTTACAAGCCCTTTTTTGTGTCTTAACTAGAATAGGATTGTGCCATTAGTTTCTTTTATGCTATAGCTTTTATATTCATGCTCAGTGCAATTAAAGTGATGGCGACCACAGGAAGTAGGGAGGTGAGTATCTTTCACTCACTGCCCCTGCACTTCCAAACTCAGTGTATATTAATGGCTCTGGCTATGGAACCATGGGATTGTAGGTTCTAGATTCAACAGATTTAAAGTACGAATGGAATGAACTCTGTGCATTCTGTTGTGTAAATGCTAATGGATCTGATGCACATTCTCACGGGATATAATGTGATAATAAATAACATATAAATAAAATTTGGTCCAAATTGAATTAAACAATCTAAAATATTTTTCTATGCTTCTTCAGCACTCAGCATGAATAGTGGCTGTGAGTGGTTTAATCAAATTAAAGAGCAATTCCCTAAAGGAAGGAAAGGTTACTGCCTCACGACTTCCATATTAAGTGATGGTAACCTCTTGTATATTCCTATAAGGTACTCTTTCCAACAGTGTAAATCCTTGTGCTTAATTTGACCAATGCTTTTATTCCATTATCTGCAAGCCGTTGGATATGCCCACGCCAGGAGATAGGATGAATTTGGCTAGAAGAGCAACATTCCTTTTAGAGTCCATTTGTCAGTCTACCTGCAGCAGCAAATGTGGAGTATATTAATGGAAAACTTCTTCAAGATGATATTGGGATGATTGCTATGTCCTGACTGCTTTTTGTTTTACACCTGCTACTAAAAGAAGAGTCAGGAAGGAGCACTGCACATAGTAGGCAGCATAAGATAAAAAGTATAGGGTTGATTCAATTTACAGGCCAACTCCATCCCTACCCCAGCACTAACTATTTAAGATTAATTTCTCATACCTTATTATGTACCTTTTCTGTGCAGGTGTCTTAACCAAGAGGCTAAGTGTGTTGGGCCCACCCACAATATATTTCAATAAGTAGCAGAAAAGTGCACACTTGTTCTCATAACCATCACATCATTTATATATATATATATATAGAGAGAGAGAGAGAGAGAGTTATTTTGGTAGCAAAAACCATCCAGAGAGCTTTGGTTATTGGCCAGTGTTTAAGTAAAATAAAGATAATTAAATAAATTTTGGGGCATTGCATTTTGACCTAATAATATAGCTGTATCTGCCATCTAGGCAGGCAAAATAGGTGACTATCTATGAGAGAATAAGCTTTGCTTCCATCTAGTGTTGCAGAGTGAGTTGGTTCTTTACTATTTCAGGAAAGAAAGGCAGTGCTTAGTACTGTCTAGAAACTTCTAAGTGGGGAGTAGGTGCTGTAAACAAACAGAATGGCAAAATGACAGCAGACATGTCAAGGAAGAATGCAAGTGGTGTTTATGATAGGTGGGGAGAACAGAGGGCCATGGGTCAGATGTCATCCTTGTTCATGTCTAGCTGAAATTTTAGCTGGATTGAGCCCTAACTCCACCAAGACTGACTTTAGGTAATTTCCTAAAGGAAAATCATTGCAAGGGCCCATCCAATAGTTTTTTAAGGCCAAATGAGACATGGCAACATTCACACAATTGACAACAGCACAATGCATCTATATTTGGAACAAACAGCAAGTGTTGCTTCATCTCCCCTGCTTCCCCCACTGAGACCCTTGCAGAGAGAGTAGGGGAGTATTAACCCCACGTAACCCTTTCCCCTTCTCCAGGGGTATTGAACATCTTTTATCCCAACGGCCAGCTTTCATTCCTTAGGGGTCACAGTCCAATGATGCACAGGATTGAAGGCAAACGGTGTGGGGCCAAAAGACAAAAATACTAACATTGAACCCACCCAAGTATTCTTCTGATGTTGGGGAAATAGTTTTTTCTTTAGACAAGCCTGTCAAGCCAATTTTTTTAATCTGCTACTGTTGTACTTTTTGCTTGGCTGGTTTTACTTTTTTTCTATCGGTTTATTTGATTATACTATGTACATTTCATAGAATTATTTGATGCTGCATTTTTTCATTTGGTATTAGCCACCTCAGCAATATTGTGCGGTAAGGTGGGATTTAAAAAACATAAATGAATTAATAAAAGATGACAGGGCTGAGCCTGGCAGGGGCAGTCTGGTCCAAAAAAAAAAAAAAAAAAAGACGAGGCCTTGTTGGAGCAAGCACTTTATTTTGCGATATCCACAGCCCTGCAGTACTGGACTGCTGCTGTGCTACCTTCCTGCCCAGCTAGGCCACCCTCAGTCATCTGCCAGGCCTGTGGACCAGGAGGAGTGCCTGATTCTGGTGAGAACCGGGCATCTGTGGCAGATTGCAGCTGCAATTTAAAACATACTAACCGCAAACATTTTTCATGGCTCAGTATCATGTATTGCTTAGCCCTAAGAAAGCAAGTGTACGTGTGTTATGTTTTGCAGGCCAACACCAGCCAATATTGGTGTAACCCCCACTGCTCTTAGGGGAACTGCCATCTTGGGGTTTCTTGTAATTCAGTGGCTGAGCTTGGTCTTCTCACTAAAATCTGGCAGTGGCCAAGTTTCTTCTTAGACGTCATTATATTGCTGTGAGATAAGACATTCTTTACCCCCTTCTAGAACTGATATAAATGGTGCTTATATAACAGTGATTAGGCACTTGTGGTGAATTGTTGTTGTTAGTTGCAAAGTTGTGTCTGACCCATTGCAACCCCATGGACAACATTCCTCCAGGCCTTCCTGTCCTCCACCATCCCCCAGAGTCCACTTAAGCTTATACCTACTGCTTCAGTGACTCCATCTAGCCACTCCATTCTCTGCCGTCACCACCTTCGTTTGCCATCAATTGTTCCCAGCATCAGGGTCTTCTCCAGTGAGTCCTTCCTTCTCATTAGGTGGCCAAAGTATTTGAGTTTCATCTTCAGGATCTGGTCTTCTAAAGAGCAGTCAGGGTTGATCTCCTCTAAGACCGAATGGTTTTGTGGCAAATAAAATGGAGCTAATTCACTTATGGTTGTATTCAATGATTTCAGGAGGACTCCAGAATAATTATTCCAGGAACTAAAACAATACACTTCTGAAGAGCTTTAGAGCTTTTCATACTCTGTAAATTGTTCTAAAATTCAGGGTCTAAATTATTGTCAGTCCTCAACTCACAGTTTATGATTCTTCATTTTCTCCATTCTTTCCTTAGTCAGAATTCTTATGGACTCTTAACTAAATACACTGGTAGTAATCAGGTTTGATTTGATGTCTTTCATTTTGACAATGGCTATACATATAGTTTAAGATACATGGACATGTATTTGGCTTACATTAATGAATTCCAGGAGTGTTTTTCATGTGTTTTATTTCTCTCTTCTTTAAAAATCCAAAAGTTTAAACTATCAGTTATGATTATCCTAAATTATACTAGTTCAACATTTTAACATTCAGTTGTAATATAATTGTTGCTACATTCATGAACACAAGCGCTCACAAAAAGTAGTACACCCCCTGTCCCTGAACAGAGGTCATATCTAAATGTTTGTTGCCAATATCAGTTTGTTCCTAGAATTAGTTAGCTAACAGACAGGTGCTTGCATTGTGGAAGAGACTCCTAAAGCAGACACTGAGTACAAGTGGCAGCTTTTGCTCAAGAGAACCTACCATTATTCAAGCCCGGGTCAAGGTCATGTGCTGAAAAGAGTTTGAGATGCTTGCTTACGTCTCTGACCAAGAAGAAAAAAGTAGTACTACAAAGTGTCTCTACTGGAAGAACCTAAAAGAAGAATATACTGACCTTGGGGTGAATGAGTGAAGGATTCAGGCCAGGGTCAGCATGCTGTTCTTTAGTACAGAAAGGAGCCATTGTGGGAATAACAGAAAGGAAGGATAAAGAATAATTACAGGGCATAAGCAAGTCAAAGAAACATGTGAATCAGAAGGCCGTTTCCAACCCAACCCCTCATTTATTTAGATTTATAGGTGAGGGTCATGGTATGGGAGGGGAATTTGAAATACTGTTGATTTTCATAGTGTTTCCCAGCTAAGGGAAAATGTGGCTCAGAGTTCCTAGTGCTTAGGTCCTGCATATTGCATCTCTTTTGGTTTCCGAATCTGTATACTCTTCATTGTCAGCAATGAATGTTTTGCTCCAGAGATAAGGGAGAGCAATGTGATGTCATCCAAGCATTTGGATGCAGCTTGTATCTTCTGCTACAGACCAAAGCTGGAAAGAATTTGTGGATCTTTTCATGTATGATGCCTGAAACAAAGCTTCTTTAACTTTCTTTCCTAGACACTTCACTGTAGGCTTCTCAG